AGGAAGGGAGGGAAGGAGGAAGGGAGGGAAGGAGGAAGGGAGGGAGGGAGGAAGGAAGGAAGGGAGGGAGGAAGGGAGGGAGAAAAGGAGGGAGGGAGAGAGGAAGAAAGGAAGGGAGGGAGGGAGAGAGGGAGGGAGGAAGGAAGAAAGGGAGGGGGAGGAGGAAGGAAAGAAGGAAGGGAGGAAGGAAGGAAAGAAGGAAGGGAGGAAGGGAGGGAAGGAGGAAGGGAGGAAGGGAGGGAAGGAGGAAGGGAGGGAAGGAGGAAGGGAGGGAGGGAGGGAGGAAGGGAGGGAAGGAGGAAGGGAGGGAAGGAGGAAGACGATTCAACAGTCTTGGGACACTGATGGGGTTTAGTCTGAAGTGCCTAGGCTCTCCCTGGCCGTGGTCTAGGCCTAGGAACAGCAGGGTTGGCAGCCCTGTAACTGGGGGACAGAGCGAAGCCGGCAAGTCCTGCCTGAGGAAGTCTTCATCTTCTTGCTTGGGAGAGTCCTGCCGCTCCCTTCCTGTCATGCATGCTGTCCCTCCAACTCCAGGCTCGGCTTCCCTTTCTCCTTACTCCCTGTCACCAAACCTCTCCTGACTCCTTCGGGGAGTCGGCTGCGGTGATCTTTAGCCTCAGTGAGCTGTGCATGAACTCAGCTCTGCCCTGGCCTCGTGTGACTTTTCCTGAAGAGACTTGGACGAACATCTGTTCACCACAGACAGGACACCACCAACCATAAACCAAGTCTAACTTAGTACATCCCGTTCAGATAAGCAACAAGAACTCGGAGCAGTAAAATAGCTTGCTTAAGGCTGCATGGTCAACATGGTCAAAACCCAGACCCAGACCTCTCTGAATCCCAAAGTCCATGTTCTTTTCCTAGTAGGGTGCTGCTTCCTGTAAAGGGGAGTCCTGTATTAGGACCAGGCTGTGGGAGGATGCAGAAATGGTGGTGGATGAGAGGATGCTCTAGCGGTCCCTTTGCCCATTCTTTCTCCTCTTTCATTCAGCCCCCCCCCCCCCCGTTTATGGCTCTGGCTTGTGTTCTGACCTCCCCTCTGGGGCAGGATCCTTACTTCTCAGACTACAGGAACACAGGGTCTTACAGAAGCTTTTCCGGGTCACACTCACAGCTGATCTTCACAACCCAAATGAGTGTGCTCACTGCCTTTCATAGAAGGTGAAACTCAGGAGAAAAGACTTCTCCAAAGGTGCCCAGCCTCTTGCCTCCTTGAGGCTCCTGCATCCTCGAGTCTCACCTTTGAGAGTGGGTCTTGAAGTTCAAGGCCAATGGTTTTCATCAAGGTCGTTATAAGCCTAGGAGTCACCCATGTAGTCCTGTCCCTTGCTGGGTCCCTGATGCAGGCCCAGGAGAGAGATACCGATTTCTGTAGGAAAAGCCCGAAGCCTGGGCTCTGCTTCCTTCTACCCTAACTTTCTCTTTGACTGGATGACACAGTTCCCCCCTCTTTCCTGGAACCCCCATCTTGAAGCCCATCTCACAGGTGGCCGTGAAAGCTGAGGGAATATTGGCAGTGAAGTTCTTTTCAGGGCTTGGAGAGGGAAAAGGAGGTCAAGGGGAAACTCCTGAGCTGACTTACCTTGCTCAGGAACCACACGCCCCTTCCCTCCATCCTCTACCTCAGGGGTGACCTCAAGGCTGTTTGTGCCCAGGGAAAGAGGCTCTCCTGGGCCCCAAGGTTGTTCAACAGAGTTCATTTCCAGTCTGGTGTGTTCTGTCTGTCAGGAAGGACACACCTACTGCGGTCTCATGACCTGCCCTGACCCTGGCTGCCCCACCCCACTCCCTCTACCTGACTCCTGCTGTCAGACCCGCAAAGGTGAGTGTCACAGTGAGCTTTGTCAACTTGATACAGCCTACAGCCCTTAGGGAGGAAAGCCCTAACCGAGGGATTGCCTAGAGCACACTGTCTGGTGGGGTATCTATGGGAAACTGTCTTGTTAAATTTATGTAGGAGGGCTAGCCCACTATGGGTGGCACCATCCCCTAGGCAAGTGGTCCCTCCTGGACTAGCTAAGTCAAGCAAGCCAGCAAGCAGTGTTCTCCCACGGTTTCACCTTCCACTTCCCACTTGAGCTCCTGTATTGATTTCCCTCGCTGAAGCACTGTAACTTATAAACTGATATAAGCCCTTTCTTTCCCTAAATTGTTTTTGGTGAGAGTGCTTTATCCCAGCAATTAACTGGAACTGTGACTCTGAAGTCTGCCAGGGTCCCACACCATCCCCTTTGTGGACCTGCAGGAAGAGACAGGGACAGCAAGCATGAAGTAGACACTCCTGTTCTACAGGGAGGTGTTAGCTTGGCATGGATGTCCCAGAAAGCAGGACCCATGCATAACGCTGTGCTGTACCTATTCGGTCACTTCAGTACCAGGAAGCACAGGCAAGGCAAAGTAAAAGTCTGGGGGTGAGAGAAGCAGAGGGAAAAGTTTATTCTCCCATCTTGGCAACTTCCATCAGCCAATGCTCACATCGATGGCCCTCATTAAAGCCTCTCACTTCTGCAGTGTGGGTGATGGGCAGCCCTGGGAGCAGCAGGCAGTGGGGGAGGAGCTTGGCCGGGGACGTGGATTGGAGGCGCTGCTGGGGTAAAGCTGAGGGCAACTGGCTGCTGGGGACAGAAGTGGTACCACTGCAGAGCCTGTTGTGACGAGGTCCTGTCCCCACAAAAAGGCTAAAAGGCACAAGGTAGCAGCCAGGAGCGGGTAAGCTTACGCAAGGCCACAGGATTGGACTCCTGGGGTAAACTGAGCCTGGCATGTCTGCTCCTGAAGAGCAGACTGGGCTTGAGCAGAGGTATATGACTGGACTGTCCATGTGGACTGGGGAACCTTGGACATTGGGGTCTGGGAAGGCATAGTTCTGTGTGGTCGTCCTTAATCCATGTCAGCTGGGAGGTGAGCAGGGAGGCTGGCTGAGCAACTCTAGCAGGCCTCTCTGAAGCAGGAACATTCAAGACAAACCAGATCACAGGTGTAGTGAATGAAGCAAGAGCTTGAGAAAGAGAGTGGTACCAAGCTTCAGGAAGCGACAGGGCTCTCTCTGGGTACCGGTTCCCTGAGAAGAGTGGCCTCAGGGTTCCCCTGAAGGCAGAGGGACTAGACAGTAGAGCTCTGGAAAACCCTGGTTGTAGACATGGAATTCTGGAACCTTGGGACCATTCACAAAGGAGTGACCAGTGTCCCAGAGGGGTGGCTTTTATTTTTTTGTGTTTGTTTTTTTGAGACAGGGTTTCTCTGTAGCTTTGGAGCCTGTCCTGGAACTAGCTCTTGTAGACCAGGCTGGCCTCGAACTCACAGAGATCCACCTGCCTCTGCCTCCCGAGTGATGGGATTAAAGGCATATGCCATCACCCAGCTGAGGGGTGACTTTTAAGTAGACTACATAAGATGCTCTGACATAACTGAGCAGTTGGGTCCCTGGAGTGACTCGGTCAATGTTGGGGAACTAAGGAAGCATCCTGGCTGTGGAGATGTCTGATAACTCAGTAACGACAAAGACAGGCTGCATAGAGATGTTTGGGCCCCTCTAAGGTAACTTGTAGGTTAGGTCTACAGGTGTGGCTTTTAGGAAGACAGAGCTATGGATGGAGGCTTTGGTGCCATGGCCACCAGGGTGACCCCATTTCCTTTGCAGACAGGACAAGTGAGAGTTCAACTGAAGAAGACTTGGCGCAGTTGCAGCCCGGAGAGGTAAGTGTGCACACAGTTGTGCAGACCTGGTGGGGAGAGACGCTGCAGTCCCAGGCCAAAAGCCTGCATGACCCTCAGCACTGGCTACCTGCTCCTGATCCTGTATCCCTCTGCCCACCCTAACTCCAAGGCCTGAGAGCTTCACTCTGGGTCAGCTACATTGGCACCTCCAAGTTCCAGCCTCTCTCCCTATCTGTCATCAGGGTCCCTATGATGGCTGACGGGTCACAAGGGAACAGCTTGCCACACAAAGCAGGGTAAACCCCAGACTCCTTCGTTTGCCTCTGGGGAATCTGGCTGGCACTGTTCTATCCACAGCCTGTGTGTGTGTGATCAACCCAAGCCGCTGAGGAATGGCCTCTGGCTTGGTCCGTGCTTCTGGGCCTCATTTCTAGGATGCGGTGTCTTTGCCAGGGATCTGCCTTTCTGCTCTCACCTCCATCCTGGCTCCTGCCAATCTTGCCTAGAATTCAGATGGCCCAGGCTTCCCAGCTCTCTGAGGTCTGAGATGGGAGAGTGACCACAGCCCGACGCAGGTCCCCTACAGTTCCTTGGTGAAAACTCCTATTCTTTCAGCCTGTGCTCCAGGAGCCTAGGACAGCCCAAGCTGGACTTCTGACCTTTCCTGCCCAGCCAAGGCATCTATGTGCCTTTGCCAGGCTGATTTCTCAGGAGGGCACACAAACCTGAGCCTTTTGATCTGCTCTTTCCCGCTTGTCCCTAGAAGGCAGTGTGTGGGGCCCGCAGGTTAGTGGAGACCCTGAGCTGCTCTTTCCACACTAACTGAGTGACCTGGGCTTGGACCAGTTGGGAGCCGCATTCTTCAAGTCCTTCTTGCCTCCTCTCCACTGGGCCAGCATCTCCTGGGCTCAGGCCTGCACTGGGGCCTGGGGTGTTTCTATTCTGCAGACTGTCTCTGGGCCATGAAAGAGACAGTGTGGAGTGGGAGCAGATTGTAGAAGGCAGGGTAAGCGGCTTGTTGACGTCGAGAGAAAGAACAGGCCCTTCTTGCTCGTTTGTTTCACGCCCAGCCCTGCCATTCCCATTCTGTGACCTGGAGCCCAGTCCCCAAACTGAGCTGCAGAGAACCTGCCCCATAAGCTGCCATCCCCACCCTCACTTAATTCTCTAACCCTACTAGATCTGGTGTGGAGGGGCAGGGGGTAGGAGCAGAACCTGGGAGTGAGGGCAGAGGGGTGGGAATAAGGCCTGGAACTTCCTGGGATCTTCAGAGGCCCACTCTGTTGTCTCATCATCTGAATTTTCCTAAGCAATAAGTTGTCTCTATTCCTGATCCCATATTGCTCTTCCTGCACACCTACAGCAGCCCCAAGGTCTGGAGAAGGCTCTGGTGGAGGCTGGTTTGCTAAATCCTTGTCAAGTGTGTTCATTGATTA